GCACCGATATTTCCGGGGCTGGATGTATTCTTTTGCTCCTACTTCAATCCTATTTCATCTAATTGAACGTTTACCGCAATATTTTAGCGAATTTGTTTGTCACGTTAGAACTTGTATTTTCACATTAGGCTACGGCGTTATGATTTATAGTGTCGGATCCCTCGTGGCTAGTGAACAATTCCTCATTGTCATGCATCTAAACCACTTGTCTTCGTGTTAAGTCGTACCTTTTTCTTTATTTAAATGTTTTTATACCTGTCATGGCAGAATATGCATGTGCACAAGGGAATTATTCAAAGTATCTAAGATCTCGGAAGCTGCCACGTACTGACCTGTCTTAATCAGGGTCAGATTTTTTAAAAATTTGCCAAAATTTAGTGAATAACTCCCTCGGTAGATGCCAGTGCTTTTGAAGATTTCATCCGCTTTTTACTGAAAGTCTGTGGTTTCTAATCTCATGCTGCCATTTCTAGTTGTTGAGTTAAATTAAAAAAAGTTGAGGTTACGGAATCGAATCATATATACCTACACTAATAATAGTACATCGCTCGCCTGGTCTTTCAACATTAGAATAACCACGTAGTTGGTCATCGCCACGTAAAATCTCAGTTAGTCTGGCCTAAGGCCATGCTTTCGAACATGGGTTTTCTCATGTGGACGCAAGTACGCCAACTCTTAATCGCAGTTGCTTCTTAACATTCTCTCTGAACGCAAGGTTATGACGTTTTATTCTCCTAGCTCATTTAAAACAGTTTTTATCCTTGTTCTGTCGTTTATAAAAGGATTGGTATGTTAGATAATCATCTATAGATCTAGTTCGACTACAAGTAGTGCAGTTAATCCACTCTTGCGATCGTTTTATAAGCCCAGAAGCCACAACTACTACTTGAGCGGGTCGTTGGGAGTTCTTTTGTCAATTTTGCGACGGTTTGGTAAATTTGAAGGCTTGGCGACTATCATTTTTTCCTGTGGACTTAGACTTATTTGCCTCTTTATTTAGCAATCATCCTGGTGCAATTCATTATAAATCTGTTTCATCACACCTAGCTTGAAAAATGGCAACACTCCGATCTGCTGTCACCAAAGTCAGTGAGGCTTGGAAAATGAAAATTGCTCAACGCTCTGCGGTACAGAGGGCGTTAAAGGATTTTTCCTTCAAGACAAGTTATTACAACCAAATAGGCTTGCTGTGGCATGACGTTATGCCACATTCTTCTGTCGTCAAAGAAGCTTTCCGGCGTCTTCCTCGCGAGGAGCGCGAGGCGATTGATTTCCGCATAGCGCGGGCTTTTCTTTTGTCGGCCAACAAGACCATCCTTCCGCAAGAGGAATGGACCAAACTGGAGGATGACGTGCCTTATCTTGACCCTTACATCAAACTTGTTGAACAGGAACGGCGAGACAAGTCAGATTGGGATCATTTCGTCTCGCCACAGTTGTACCCATGAACCTTACACTGAGACTTCGGGAAACTAACTCAGGATACATCCAAAACCATGTTTTCTTTTTTCATCTGTCGCTCTAAACTGTGCCCATAATGTTTATTTTTTTCTTGATCGACAGGTTTCTAGAAATAGGGTGATTCGTTTGCTGTTATTTCTCATTGCGCCTACGCTAAAGTCGTTTCACGAGTCGAATGAAATGCTTCTAAGCAAAATTCATGACCCAGATCATCAATGTTTTCCAATCATGAACGAAGGTGTTTCAGGCAATAGTGTTGCTGAATACTTAGACTTGAGTGGTGGATCGGGAGAAATGAAATAGTCCGTGTAGACGAGATCCTAGCCGGTTTCGAGAAGGCTGCTCCCTTGGGATTTTTCAGTATTCTCGGTGCCAGAAATTCAGCTGGGAAAAAGGCTTGAATAGAGCAAATGGTCGCATGGGGTGTAGGTTCGTCGGATGAATGAACAGCTGATCTCGCTGGAGGCGGTTAACCTCACCGTCATGTTTCTAGAGGTCCTACCAATGAACAGATCTCGGTTTGAGCGATGAGGTGCCCAAGACCACAGCTCGAGGTTTGGCGTGTTTATGGTCCTGAAAATTCTTAGAATGTGTAATGGGCATAATGTGTGGCGTAATGTGTTTCTACTGCACTCAAATATCCATGGAGCCGTGTTTGTTAGGTAGCGGGATATGGTAAAGACATAAAAATCCTTAACGCATGCGATTAGTTAAATGTTAATGCTGGAGTTACATATGGGTCGACAGTTGTTGAGGTCATTCCCTTTAATCTGATTTCGGAAGGCTTGGGAGAAAGTTGTGTGAAATATAACTTGATCCTGATGTTATCTATACCTCTATAGAGATGTTGGCAGTAAAATATCAACTAGGATTTTTCTGAAGGGTAATTAACAAAGATGACAGGTCGGTCCTAGAAGTTTAGTCCCATGGGATGCCCATTGAGACCAACAAATTTTGAATCGCTGACGGCAGTACTGAGTCCTTAAAATCCGTACATTTTATTTACTTTTGTACTTAACAGTTCGCAGAAGTATTTCTTTGCTACATAGAATATTAATCCTTGGAGCCACTGGAAATTTGACGTTTATGACGTGAATGTAGAAATCATTGGAATATAAAACTGGACACTTAACCAACCTCAGTACTGCAACTAGAAGTGACTCAGTGCAAAATTAATTTGAAATTAGAAGTTATTTCAAGGAGAAAGCACGCTTCTCAGCCTTTTAGTGCATCCAATGAGTGGCGTAGCTCATCGCTTAGTTTATTTGGGGAACAGAGGTGATTGTGACATTGATCCCTATAAAAGATCAGAAATTTGAAATCGACGAACAATCGGAACGTTAGAAGCAGCGGTGTGTAGCGTAGGAGGTCCGGTGACTCAGGAAAATACATAAGCAGTCAGATCATACTGTCCACAATCCAACGATGATTTATGGAAGCGGAACGGGGTACGAACGGGAATCAGTGGTATTCATCGGTTCTGTTTAAACATAAAGCGCCAAAAACGAAATGCGCTAATCACTTTTTCCACGCATTATCAATCGGATGTTTTTAAAAGGAAGTGTCTACAACTACGTGTGGCGGCGATCCATCATATGTTGTATTTTATTTCCTTTTATAAACATAGTGACTCAGTTTATATTTTTAACTACGCCTTTGGGACCCTTGTCTTTTTCGCCCAGAAGGTCACTGTGACTGTTACTTGGGCGGCAAAATGTGTGCGGAATGTGCAATCGCACATAACTAAGTAAAATTCCTACAAACCTACTGGACCTGATAAGCTTGCTAAAGACCCAAAGGACTAACGAAATGCAAATTCACCATTTGCTACAAGGCTGTACTTTTAAATTTTTAGTAGTATTGACAAAATTAAATAAAGTCAAAGTGAATTGACGAAATAATCGTTTTCAAACTACAGATATTACACAGAAAGTGACTGTCACTACAAGGAACATTTTTGCTAACTTTTGGATAAATTAACCATATGAAGCCTTGGTTTTTGGAGTATGTGACAGATAGCAGAACCAATGGAAACAGCAAAGATAGTGAAGATGGTGAGGAAATGGCCATTTGTTTTGACGCTTAAAGTTTCTTATTGTCACTGAGTTGTGAACGAAGTTCAGGGAATAAAACTTGAACTATGGCTCAGTGCAAAAATTTGGGAGTGATTTACACATAGGAAGTGAATGTTACTTGTGATTTATGCGCATGGATGCCATTCCAACAGCATATTAAAATGTAGAATGCGGAACAAATTCTTGCCATATTTGTAAATGAGCTTGACGTTCAGGCTAAATATGCTTTGTATCTCCCATTTCAATAAATTTTCCAGAAAAAAACGGCTCATGGCAGAACGGGCAATCGGACCTAAGGCAACCAGTAGTAATGGCCAAAATTTTGAGGAAAATTTTATGTTATGACTACAGTGCCACTTCAGCACCATTAATAAAATGCTTAAAATAGCTTTTAAGCTCGGGGACATTTCGATGCCAGATGCTGACCTTGTCAAAGATTCCTTCTCAATCATTCCATCATTCAACTTACTTGCAATCAAGGTAGTCTTTTTATGAGGCTGTCCAGACGTTACTCGGGTGACGCCCAGGTCTATAATTTCTAGCAGAAGAAAAATAAACCTTACCGAGAGGCTAAATCATTTTCAGTTTTCGTTGTCCATAGCTTTGAAATGTCTTGACATCATTAAGAAAAAAATGTGGCATTTTTAATTTGCACCAAGTGACATAAGGTAAATGTGAGTTGAAACTCCTACCCACTTGAACGTAACTAGCGGTGTGCGAATGACGACGTCGATTTTGTGATAAATCATGTCATGGAAGATCGCGTAAGGCAGATGGCAACAGACGGCACAGCAAGCATCGTGTAGAACTTTGAAATGCTGCTGGTTTAACTTTTTAAGGCTCAATGTAAATAGGACGACAAGAACACAGAATCAAAGTTAAAAGTACAAAAAATAATAGTACACACCATTATAACTGATCTCAGTTTTGCAGCTTTGTCAAACTGAACAACAGAACTTGAAACGTCGCTTTCTGGCTAAAAGCATTTCATGCACAATTCTCTGCTACTCTCGTCTTTTCCGTTTCTTGGTCAGCCCGACAAAATTCGGTTCAATAGGCAGCTGCAAGGCTTTCTAAGATTGACTGTTCGGAATTACGTAAACGTTTACGCTTTAGATTAAGGAAACATATGGTGAAGTAAGATATTCACATGAATTGCTGCAATCTACTCGAAAATGAACAAATATTGTAGCAGGTTCATTTAGTTAGCCTAGGAAATTGGTAGAATGAATGGTGTAATCAATGTTTACTCAGTTGAGCGCAAAGCACACTTAATGGATTTGTATTCAAAGGGGATGTTTTAATGGTTTATATTTGTTAACATCAAATGAAAACGAAAGACAGTAAACATAATTATTATTCTGCTTATTTGGAACACAAACATGACAAATTGAATTGTTACACGGATTAATTTTAGAATAGAATGCAAATTTGTTGGAGTACAAATTTATCTGCAGAGAAAACTTGTTTTTTTTTAGGATCATTTTGACATGGGCGGGCTAGTGCAAATAGTTTTATTTAATTTATCACATCATTTTAAAGCGCTGTCTACGTAATATACTTTTTTTCCTACGATTACCTTAAGAGTGTTTAGTTAAATTGGAAATAGAATGTAACCAGGAAGTTAGTCTAACTTCTCTGTTTATTCAGTTTTCTTAAGGTGAGAATGTTTATGCTTGATACCTTTCCGATAGCACTGTAAGGCAATCTAATTAAATGCCATTTTCTAGTAAGAAAAATTGGGGCAGAACGAAAACAGACTAAAAGACAGTTTTACAGCGACTTTGTTGGAAAGTTAGATGGTTGTCCACACTGCGGTTGTAAAAGTTATTATTTTTTATTCCTGAGCAGTGCAACTTGAGAAGGCTTGCACCGAATATTCCTATCCGATTCTAAAATTTGCAAAATGATTGCCTTTGAACATATGAGTAGTATTCCTATTTTACGACCACAAGGTAGACAGTTCGCATTTAATCGTTATAGTCGCTTGTAATCATTGGGTGAGTACACTAGGACACTAGGACTAATTCATTTTTAATTGAAGACTAATTAGATTCTTCAGCTTTTCAAAAGTTTGACGAATTGAAATGAGGTCGTATTATAAGTTAATAAGATCCGTCTAATGAAATAACTGTGCTGTATTTTGCACAAAATTTAATCTTCATTTCCACCGTGAAACTAGCCCTAGTATTTTATTCAAATTCTATCTCTGGGTAACATACGAAAACTTTGTACACAATCTGTTGATTTCAATGCCTGGAACACTCGACAACTGGCTTAACCATTTATATCTTTGCAAAAATTATCATCTGATTTTTTGCCCACTAATAGTACTTGTTAGCATTTTGTAGTGCCTACTATTTTAATAGTCTGAAAAGCTTGACGCTGGTTTTTAACTCAAAGACGCTCGCCCCCTTTCAATTGAGCTTTAAGTGTTGGTAAAAATATCGAATTTGAACTAAAAAATCTGTCAGTTTGCCATCTATTTGTTCGACTAATAACTTTATGGACACAAATGTACACTAATGTATGCATAACCAGCTTTGGATCGCATTATAAGCTCTAATAAACTCCCAATCAATCGGAAGAATTTTACAAAACATATAATATGGAATAAAGACTACTTTAAATGGTGGCAGTACATGAGGGACACTTTATTTTTCAAAAACAACATTTTGCTAACAAATCCAAATGTTTAGCTTTTCTATTGAATTAATGATAAATGCCCGAAGAGGCAAACAAGTCAGTATTTTAATAAATACCACGAATGAGCTTTCAAAACTGGCCGTTCTTGAGAACTTCCATAATGTTTGGGGAAAAATTATCCTTAAAAATGTCTGTAACTTCTTTTCATGAATTATTGCCAAAGTATACAGTCGTTCCTGGTGGAATACTAGTGATGCGCCTAGATA